CTTAGGTAAAAGAAGCGTTGCTGCAGAGCAAGTAGGGAAGGAGAAGTAGAGAAGGAAAATATACCCAGTTACTACCAGTTTGACTATAAAAGTTATTTATTGCTAAGTATATGAAATATATAATGGCACTAGTAGTAATAGACATGCAAAGGAAAAACAAACACAAACAGCTACAGTATTACCCTGGTTTTACTAAGTATTTGGGGAAACTTAGCTCAAGCTTAACTAATACAGTTCAGGTTCAGAATTGTATGCCTAGAGAGAAAAGAGAAAAGAGAGAGAGAGCACTGGGATCTCACCAGTCCAAGGCACTCGGGTTGTTTGATGGCAGGTAAAGCTCGTAGCATGATCCTTGAAGGGAGATGATCTGCCTCCTTCAGCCTCTCAAGAAGAACAGTGGATGTTGTCAGCACACACATTGCTGCTTTTTTAAAGATTTTTATACCCTTAGTTCAGCTTCTTTCAAGCTTTCTTGATAGTGTAAATAATTATCTTTTCTATTAACAAGGGGTTATCTGGTTTGGAACATCTCAGGAAACTGAGTGATAATCAGGAAACACATAAAGTTAGGCAGTACCTAGAAACTTGGGAGCCAGCTTGAAATTCCTATGGATAGCAGATATACTGATGGGATATCTCATGGTTTCTTCAGAAACAATAGATAGCTTGCAGCATCATGGTTTTGGATTTTTACTTGTTGTGAACAAGCCTCAACTTAGCATGACTTTTCCAGATCTTACTATAGTCTTTTAACAGACTTAAAGCAATTATCGGAGGGTTCATAACCTTTGCGGGGAGGGGGGGGACTTCCACCAGTCATCCCGGGAAACGTATGACAACACTCGTGGTCATGGCTCCAATGGGCTGTATGCTGTGATGAACACTTTACCATTGTTCAAATGTTGCCCATACCCCCTCTGACTCAGTGTCTTGCCTCAGCATTCCCTAACCCGGCAACTGAGTTTTAGCCAATTAAATTTAAACAAGCCTCCCATAGTGGGACCAGGGAAAGTATGGCCTGAGATGCCTATTAAACTTTACTTCTGCTTCGAGGTGTGGGGTGGGGGGAGGAAGTCCTTTGTAAATCCAGATTAGAACTGGTCTGATAAATGCTGATCTGGGTGTGTGGGTTGATTAGCATTTGGAGCACAGATTCCCCATCATGCAGTGCTCCCCTGCTTGATAGATCCCAGAATTCACTCCAGTCTCTGCTTCGGGCTTTCTGTTCTCCATCTCCCATGTAAATGTGTTGTCATCTGGTTCCATCTCGGATGCAAATGAGACCTAGGGCAGTTGTTTCACTCTTGTCACTCTTATCTGGAGAGTTTTAGGTGTGTCTCTGATCTTAATCAGTTTTTGTTTAGGTAGAGGAGGGGAAGGGGGACAGACAGTCTGCATCCTGTGTCAGGGATCCCCAAGAACATGGAGCTGAGAGGTAACACTCTTTGGGAACTCTCACTTCTTTGGTTGCTTGCCCCATTCTCCTCCGCTTGGGTCCCAAACAGATGGCAATCCTGTGCCACTTTGTATTTTCTACTGATATCAAAATGTGGGGTTCTCTTCCTTTTGTTAATCCTCATCTACTCATTTCTTTCTCTTTTAGGTCCCTGGGAAGGTATCAGACATCCCTAGGTATTGGACTCACCAACTCGGAGGTCTCCGTCATCACCTCACATCAGCTTCCCAGGTAAGTCTCTCTCTAGGACTCTTCTTCTGTTCCCTTCTCTCTTTCATCTTTTGTCTCTCTCTAGTCTATCCATATTTCCTCTGGGTTTATTTTTTCTTCTTTCAGGAACTAATTCCAGGCTCCGTTCCCCTTTAAATCCTTCCAGCTGTTTCCTGCATCTCTGGCAGCCAGCACTCTCCCCTTGCTCTCCCCATGCACGCAGCTCTTTGTTTTTGTTTCCATCCATGTCCTTCTCTCCTCCATCCAGGTATCCCTGCCCCTTTCTCTCCTTGGGCTCATTGCCAAGATACGTTCTCTGTTTCCCTTCACTCCCCCAGAGTTCTGTGATGGAGCAGACTTGTAGCTGTATCACAATTATTTTTATAATAAAATTAAAATATGTTTTAGTAGGTGTTTCACTTTTAGTGTATGATTTGGTTTTTTTTTTTCTAGTTCTAAGAAGGCAACCCCCCATCCCAAAAGAAGTATTTTGGGGGGGCAAGGAACAGGACTTCTGGTCCCATTATGGCAACCAGGGGGCAGGGCAATTGTCAAGGGGTGGGGATATCCATGTGGCTGGACAGCTCACCAAGACTCATTAAGCGGCCCTCCAGCCAAAATAATTGCCCACTCCTGCTACAAAGGCTGCAGCAGTATCTTCTATAGGACAAGAAAAGAATACTGGGTCCAGGTCAACCAAATGTGTATTCTTTTTGAGTTACAATAGACCTCTCCAACCTTAATTTAGATCCCTGAGTTATGGTTTATACAGGATGGCAGAACATTACCCTACCATTGAGATTCTGGGATAACAAGTTATCAAATATTTAGAGAAAGGGAAAGGTGCAGGAGTGTTGCCCTGAGGGGTCAGGCCAATGCTCAGGATCTCAGTATTGTGCTGTTAGACAGGAGAGTGTGATGTACAATTGCACATGCACACATGAAAATCAGTTAAGCATACATACACTCACTAGGTACATACACTCCCACTAGGCATACACACTCACACTAGCAACTCAGATATACATACGTCCAAAATAACCAGTCTAGGTTCACGCATACCTATCACCAGTTTAAGCCCTTACACAGTACACACACCAAATTTAGACAGAATCAGTTACCAACACCTGCACATCCAATACACATATGTGAATTACTAATTCATATACCACACACACACAA